TCACTGTAACCTTGTCAGGGTCAGGCAAAACACCGTCCGGCGTAATCAAATGGCCAAGAAAACGAAAAGTGTCGGTCGCGAAGCGACACTTAGAAAGGTTAAGCCTGAACCCTGCTCCAGCGAGCAACTGCAACACGGCATCGAGGTGAGATAGGTGCTGCTCAAACCCTGCACTGTATATTACGACATCGTCAAGATATGCCAGCGCGTGGTGGCCCAACACCGGGTTGAGAACGGCGGCGATAGCCCTCTGAAAAGTTGACGGGGCCGTCGTCAATCCAAAGGGCATACGCGAAAACTGAAACAGACGGGCGCCGTCCGAGAAAGCTGTCTTTTCTCGGTCCCTCTCATCGACCTCAACAGTCCAGTATGCGCTTTTAGCGTCGAGGACACTAAACCAAGACTTACCCGCCAGCTGATCAATGGCAGCGTCCATCCTGGGTATGGGATACGCATCTGAAACTGTTTTCGCGTTCAAAGCACGGTAGTCAACGCAAAAGCGTGTCGAACCATCCTTCTTTTTCACTAGCACAACGGGAGAGAGCCATGGTGAGCAAGAAAGCTCGATCACCCCGTCTGCAAGCATCTTGTCGCACTCCGCACGGATGTACTGCCGTGTACTCTCCGGGAGGTGCCACTGTTTCACACGGACGGGTTGGTCGTCTGTGGTTTTGATTTTATGCTTCATGTGTGGCACCACACCTGGAGGCAGCCCTTCGTTGAACAGATCTGGGTAACGATCAAGTACCTGGACAAGCTGTTCACGTTGGACTGACGACAGGTGAGCAAGATCCACCCTGGGAACACCAACTGCCCCTGCTGATGAGGGGAGTTCCTCGTTCTCGAAAGAACATACCGGGAAAACCTCAAACTCGTCCGTGTTATAGCCAAAGTCATTAAGTCCGTGTGCAAAATCAAACCGGTCCTCGAAGTCCGCCATCAGACTATCCGGTTCGCTTCCATCATCGATGGGAGTCGAAGAAGCCATGCCTAAAGCTCCTCGACTATCCCCGGAGGATGAGCCCACATCTTCCGGGTTAATGCCGGAATCCTGGTCCATGGATTCCGCGTCGTATTTGAGACGATTAAGTGAAACCTGCATGATCGCCGCATAGCAGAGGACGAATCCTTGCTCGATCTCAACCGGAACTGTCTGATCGTTGACGACCCAAACGTCAACCTCCGGTTGGGAGAGGTCCACCAACGCGCGAGGTACCAGGACCTTGGCTGTGCCGCTCTCAACACAAGCCAGTCCGCCCTTCAAGCCGTTCACGAGGCATCGCACGAGGGGGACAGGTGGCTCTCCGCGCGCATCTCATCGCACCTTCCCGGTCTCCGCCGCTCGCACTACAGCAACGTAGCACGGCCTCTGGTTCGTGGTATGTCAGGATGCTGAGGGACCCGGCACCCGAGAACGAAACCCCGAGTCGGACTCCATTAAAGGTAGCAGAGCTGGCCCCTGAAACAGGGGAGAGGTTCAACTTAAAATTGAACCTTAGCAGCAGGTCCAAGCCTATCAGCACCTCTGCTGGAAACCTCGTGTCGTCGTCCACCACGAACACCGAGTGCCGGCATTTACAGGCTCGGGAAAACTTAAACTCAAGGGTTGCCCTGCCCTTGATGTCCAACGCGGCCCCAGATGCCCCTCTAAGGCCACGTGGGTGCGGTGAGAGCGGGGTGTTGGAAATCCTCCTGAAACAAGACTCCTTCACCACCGTTGCCTCACTTCCCGAGTCAAGAAAGGCCAAGACCTTAGTCCCAGCAACCACACAATTCAACAGCGGCCGCCCCGCCTGAATCTGTGCCTCGGGAAGCTCCGGTTCCGTGGAACTGTCGCTCCCCTCGGCGCCCGCCATCATCATTGTCCCTGGCAGTGGCTCGTTGTGGTTGCGGTTGTGTTCTGTCGGGCGGTGCCCTACGTTGTTCTGCCTGAAAAAAGCACCGCCCAGCCACATGCCCTCGGCGGCCACACCGGGTGCACTGATTACCCTCTCGCACCGCACGACACTCGGGGGCGTCATGCGTAGTCACCTGATGGTAGGGACACCAGCGTCGGGGTTCTCGAGTGCGTACGGGTAACTCTGCTAGGGGATCAACCGGAGGGGAAGCTGCCGGAGATCGACCCTCGCGAGGAGAAGAAGAGTGAGGTTTAGGCCCTGCCTCGCTCGAGAAACTGACCAAGGGTTTCTCTACCCGCCCGGCATATTGCCAATGGTGCCAGACTTTTTGGGCTGCTTCGACCACCCGGTAAAGTGGCTGATCCTCTATCAACAGGAACTTTTACTGCAGCCAGGGCGGGAGTCCCTGGAGAAAAGTTCTCCTCATTAGAGGTTCAGCTGGCCCAAGTTCACCAGAATAGTCGCACATGCCTTGGTATACTATGGTCTCGACCGCGAGATAGAAGTCCCTAGGAGAAGTGTCGCCGAGTACGTACGACCCCAAATGCCGTAGATACTCCATCGACGAGCACGTCCCCCGGAGACGTTGTCGAAGGGTTTCCTTAAACTCGTCCCAGGTCCCAATCCCGTCAAAAACTGGCGAGTTAATAACCAAGTCCGCCGTCCCCCTACAGCTACCGCGGGCGGCGCGGATCAGAGCCTCATCCGTCCCATAAGGATGGGCTTGCTCGACGCGCCGTAACCAGGTTTCCAACTCCTGGTTCCTCGAAGAGGCTGGCTAGCTGGGACCTCTGCCCGGTAAGGCGGGATCGGGTCACGTAGGGTTATACCCTGATCTAAGGGACGCGGGTTGACGGGCGCTCGCTGAGACGAGTGGTCAGTCGTGAACGCATGCACCCCCGCTTCTACCTGCGATGCAGAGGCCGCAGCTGGTGAATGAATGTGTGGTTCAGATGCCCTGGGCTCCAGTAATCGCACGATATTGGCGTACTGCCCTTCCAGGGCACTGAACCGAGAATTCAGCCGTTCGAATTTGTCAACCAGTTCCTCATACATCGAGAGCGAGAGGTGGCCACGGGGTTTTAGCCTTTGCCCCGAAGTCAAAGATTGAGTGTGATATCGAGGAAACTCGGGGCCCTCAAGAAGGGTGTTTGCAGAGGATCCCGAGGACTCATTAGTGGGTTCTCCTTGGCCGGTATTGCGTGTGCGAGGCATTTTGCGTCCCAGCACTTGCTCTACAACCCGTTACTTAGCTTGCGATAGACTTGCACAAAGGCTTAACCAGGCACTTTATAAAAAGAAAAACTGTTCTCTCCCACCGCTGCCTACCAAAAAGACAGTTGTAGCGGGGTGTAGACCCAGTAGACTTTAAGTTGTCTGGTTGAGTCCGGGCTCAACCGAGAAGATGGAGTTTTTGCTCAAGGGAAAGATTGGTCTGCAGTGAACAGATGTAAGGTTCCAGGCCTACGGCACGCTGCCACCACCTGATTAGTTGGTTCGGGAACCGTGTATGTCGTGTAAGTGGGTGTGGGCGTTGTATCAGAGAAGGGTGGAAAGAAAGTACAGAATGTGTGTGCTGAATGTTGGATGTATAAGTGTGTAGATGTGAAATGGGAGATAGCGTAGGCTGAGCGTCTGCGTGGACGTGTTTGGAAGAAAAAAGCAAGATCATAGGATTCTTCTTCTTCCCTTCGGTTTGAGCATCTGCCTGCTGGGAGCAGGAACCCAGGTATAGCAAAAATTAATCTGTTCTTTGAATATCAGCTTAATATTCTCTGATTTGACTAGCCTTTTTACAGCCTTTCAAGGGTTGCGAGATATCAGAGCAACCAGCAATGTGCTGTTTAGGAGACCCGAGTCCGAGAAAGATTTAGGCATCTAACCTTGGTCAGAACCAGAACTTTAGTGGTGGTATATAAGAGCAATTTATGTCCTGACTGGAATTGAGTAAAAGCTCTAAGATGGTATGATATTTATTTTAGGAGCAAGTTGCACTCATTAGGGGGTTACAGGCATTTTCAGTCATGGAAAAGTAGATAAAGGTGTGTGCATCACCAATTTATCACAGCGGCGGTGATGCACGAGAAATCAACACCAGATAAATTTACCACGATATAAAAAAAAATGTCTTCCCTAAGTTGGTGTCCCAACTCCAGAAGTACTGTTATTAGGGGGTCAGCATAAAAACATCCGTCCTTAAATTACCTTAAATTGTTAACATCCAACCCAAATGGATGTTAACTGTTAAACCAAAGCTAATGCTGACGGATACCTAGTACTTGTATGCAAAAGAATTAAGAAATAAATTAATAAGAAGGCTGAAAAAGTCAAGGAAGGGACTATTCACGAAGACTGCCTGAACACCCACAAGGTCAGACAGGAATCAGCCGAAACAACAAACGAAAACAACAAAAATCACGTATCATGTGATAAGGGCTCTTTATCAGGAGATACGGATCACCAAAGTCTGCCTGATCACCCACAAAGGTCAGGCAGAAATCAACAGAAACATATATCAAACAAAATATGTAAAAAGATCCTGATAACGATCTTTATCCCGGAGGTACGGATCCTCAAGCAGGGACGAAAGGAAACATTAACATTAACTTAAAAAATATATATGTACAGGAGGTACATATATACAATATATATATACAACGAAGTATTAACTTAAGTCTTAAAAAGGGAAAGTCACACTGGAGGGACAATCACAAAGGGCTGCTTGATCACCCACAAGATCAAGCAGAAATCAACAAACAAGCATTAAGCGAAACAAAACAAATCGACGATAAAGTACGTAAAGGTACTTAAAAAGATCTTTATTCCAGGAGGTACGGATCCTCAGGCAGGAATGAAAAGAAACTAAGTGATAACTTAGTTGTTAAATTGAATACACTGGAGGTACGGATCCTCAAGCAGTGTTCCTCTATATCACTTGGTCCTAATGCTCTCAAACACTTGGAAATACACAAAAGTACTGCTATGGGACTTCACGAAGGAGTGCACCCTGCAGATAATAATGCAGCATGTCACGCTAAAGTCCAAAAGAGACCAGTAGTCCCTACACACAACCATCAACCACTTAGCTTGAGGAGCTACGTAATGCGAAGTAAATCCGAGGTTGAAGTAAATCCAAGGGTGAAGTAAATAAATCCAAGCGAGAGCACAACACAGGTAAAAATTTCCACCGCGAAGGACCAAAGTGCGGGACAGAGGTCAGGACCGAAGTTATCTTCCTTCCCCCTACCACGAGTACATATACCCCGAAAGAAACCCCCAGGCCAAGCCCCAGGCATAGCGAGAAAGAAGAATATAGGCAAAAGAAGTGCCTGAAGACCAAGCCGATAGTTCGACAATCCAAACAACCGAGACGAGAGAGGGAAGGGGAAAAACAAAAAAGAAGCAGGGTAACGACCGTCACCTCCTTCGGTGGTTATCGCGAGAATTTGGAGACGTCGACAAGAGGAAAGAACATTAGAAAAAGATAAATACAGGAAAGAATACGGAGAAAATCCGATAACAAACCGTTATAGTAAAAACTGTGCATTTCGGCCATAACATATTTACAATATTCAGGTTTAAAAATAAATAAATAGTTTGGCTTGGCGACTTCAACTGGAGATGACATCATCCTTAGAGTAGCCGTACACTACAATTGGAAATAATGAATTTGAAATATTCTGTTTTTTTAAGAAATATATTTATTTTAATATTACACCTCCTAGACCGAGTCAAATGCTTTCCCTACGTCTAAACATGTCACTAGTGTATATGTATTTTTTTCTGTTATTGCTTGTCTGATATTCATTTCTGTCATTTGTATTGCATCTGTTGTGTCTCGGTTAGGCCTAAATGCTATTGGGTCTTCGTTTAGATTTAATTCATGACGCCAGTTCAATCTTCTTGATTTTATATTTTCAGATAGTTTGCCAATACATGGTCTACTAATATATCTAGTTGTTTTTTTGTAGGATATTTTGCTGGTTTCTGGATTGGGTTAATTTTTGTTTTTTGTAGATATTCACTCACTTCCTAATATTTATTAAAGTCTCTTAAAATCATTTCTACTATATTTGGATTATTTTTGTAGAATTCATATTCAATATCATATATCTCATATGCTTTCTCATTTTTGTGCTTTTCATAGCATATCTTAATTCTTCGAATGTTTATATCTTCATTTATATATCCTTCATTGTTACAGTTTAGTATTTCTTGTTTTTCCCATTTTTGTTAGTATTTTTTGTTGTTTACGTATTATGTTTTCATTTTTTTCTCTAAATAGTTTCTAGATAAAAAAAAAAAAATCACTGGGAAGTTGTTACTTCTTTTTATTTTACCTGTCTTTTTTTTTTTTTTTTTTTTTTTACACTATTTGTAATTTATTCTGCTGTTGCTTTCTGTTGTAATTTTATGTGTCTGGATTGTTTGATGTAATTTTTTTTCCTGTGCTTTGTTATGGATAGAGCATGTGTTGCTGTTAGGTATAAGTTTCCCTTCACAGAAAAAGCTGTATGGATCATTTGTGCAATCTCTGAATTCATGAGTAGTGCTACTGCAAATACATTTTTTTTTACATGTAAAATCCCATGACCAAATCGTAAATAGTTAAAGCATTTTGGGTATTGGGAAGGTATATTGTTGTACTTTGCATGATGTATGGCCAGTTACCACCTTTCGGGCAGTGGTACTTTGAATGTAATTTTCAAAGGTTTTGTTGGTATTCAGTTTTCTTTTTGTTGTTGATTTTGAATACTTCTTGGATGTAGAAAATATCATGAAGAGTTCTGATTTCTTTGTTGTGTTTATATCAAGCTCAGGTTCAACTGGGTCTATGCTTCCATATGTGCAATTTGTATTTATACTAGAGGTTGGTCGTTTGCATGAGATTTCCCATGGTCCAAGATTTTTTTTCAGTTCAGTTAACAGTCTGATTTTTTTTTTTTTTTTTTTTTTTTTTTTTTACATCTTGTATTTCAAGCCTAATTGCCTTCCCAATCCCTGATACTCTTAGTGTGTCTTCTATGATGTATCTATGGAATTCAGATTTATTTATTACATTTGTTAGTTTTATGGGGATTATTAAAATATGTTGATTCCTGTAAAGGAATCAAGGATTCCTTGTCTGATATTATATATATATAGAGTTTAGATCAAGAATTTATTTGATTTGATAATGTATTAACATGAGAATGATTATTTAATTTCATTTAGTTTGTAATGTTGGCTACAGTGACGTTAGAGTTGTACGAACGCCCTACAAAAACGCATTGTTGTGAATCCGCGGAGCCCCTCTAGAGAGCCACGTGAGACGTCTTGTGCTGCGAGAACCGATTGAAACTCCATAGAGTGAACATCGATTACGGAGTGAAGTGTAAAAAGACTTTATTCTTATGGACACTGATCTAAATCCCGACCCAGGAGAAGATCCTGAACTAGTCCAACTTATGGACCAAGAAATTCAAACAAAGAGAACAAGAGAAGATTTAGAAAGTGATAACGAAGAAAACCCAATTTCAAAACAACCAAAAAACCAAGAAGCCGGTTGGAGAAAGCCGGAAGAACAACACCCAACAACTAGTAAGAATACAACAAATATGAAGGTAGGACAAGAAAACCCTGTAATACTTATACAATTGATAGATGATAAAACAACAACAAACTTCAACAATCCCATTAAATTAACAAAAGCCTTAAATACATCTGAATTTCATAAATACATCATAGAAGATTCCCTTAGAGTACTAGGAACAGGAAAGGCTCTAAGATTTGAAATCAATGATTTAAGTAAAATAAAACCCCTCAGAGAAATAAAAAAAACTTGGAGAATGGAACATAACCTGCAAACAGCCAACCTCAAACAAAATGCTAATTGTTCATATGGAACATATATCCAGTAGAACCTGAGCTGAAAATTGAAAACATAAAAGAAAAAATAAGAACACTGGGTAACACAACTAACGAAATAATAGAAGTAATAAGACTAAAAAAACTAAATAAAGATAAAAATAGCCAGGAGAAATGGTATGCAACAAAATCCCTAAGAATAACTTTCAGTGGATTTCTACCAGAAAGAATAGCCATAGGACACACAAGCTACAAAGTTAGACAATATACTTTCCCAATAATAAAATGCTACAATTGTCTGAGATACGGACATGGGATTGTTACATGTAAAAATAAAATGAGATGTAGCAAATGCAGTCAGCATGGACACAAAATAAGTGAATGTGAAAATAATCCATACTGCTTTTTCTGTGATGAAGAACATTTTCCAAATAACATAGAATGTAAAAAACATAGAGAAGCACAAGAAATAAATAAAGAAAATATAACACCAAATAACTTTGAAATAAAAAAGCAACTACAACAACTCAAACCGGAAAAGAAAAACAAAAATAACCAAAACCGGGAACCAATGAACAGACAACCATCCCAGATTATCAGATCACAATCAGAAGAAGAAAATAACTAACTCAACCACAAAGCCTAACCTTAGGCCAAAAAACGCCTGCAAAACCAAAAGAACAAACTCCAACAAGACCTAGATCTGGAAAAACAAACAAAAACCAAGGAAATACATCTCCTAAAAGATGTAATAAAAATTCAAGTGAAGAAAACAAAACTATAACAAACTCAGAACAAAGAGAAGTTACTGAATCCCCAACCACATGGTCATTACCTACCCCAATACAGTACAAAGAAAAAAAAAACAATAAAGAAGATGAAAATGATAACTTTTCATGGATAAAAGTAACCAAAAGTATTTTCAAAATAATAACAAATCTAATAAACAACTTCAACTCCGAGAAACCCTTAATGCAAAATATAATTGACATCATAAACGAAATTAGCTTAGTGCTAAAAGACATTATAGCATATTGAAATGTACAAACTAATTCTTTGGAATGCAAGATCAATACTAAATAAAAAGACAGAACTAAATTATCTAACATATAAAGAAAACCCAGGAATATTAGCTATTAATGAAACATGGCTAAAAGAAAAAGATACCCTCAACATCAACAACTATACAGTCATAAGAAAAGACAGAAACAATCAAATAGGAGGAGGTCTTGCTGTATGCATTAAAAAAGGATATTCAGCATAAAAAAATAAACTTAAATGACAGATACAAAGATAAAATAGAAGTACTAGGAATTAAAACAAGTTATAAAAGAAACTGGCTAAACATACTATTAATATATAATCCATGTAATGTAATAGAAGCAGAAGAACTAGAATATTATTCAGATCAGATAAGACATCCAAAATTAATAATAGGAGACTTCAACGCGCATCACCCTCTCTGGAATGAAAATACAAACCAAAGAAACAAATACAACAGGAACAAATATAACAAAATGGCTAAGTCAAAATAATGTATTACTACTAACTCCAAGAAACCTCATAACCAGAATTGATCCAAAAACTGCAAAAGAATCCACATTAGATCTCGTATTTGGCTCACCCGCCCTAAGTCATCTACAAATAAAATCTGCATCCCACCAAATAAGTGACCATCTGCCAATAATAATAATGGACAACACATACATTGAAAACCATTTACTCAAAGAAAAAAAATGGTACTACACAAAAGAAAGATGGAAAGACTACCAGAAAGAATTAAATGAAACAAATTTAGAAGAAATATCAACCATAGAAGAAATAACAGAGCAGATAAAAAATACAGCTCTAAAATATTTAAAATTAGAAACAAGACAAATAATAGATAAACCAAATAAACCATGGTGGAACAAAGATTGTCATGAAACTATAAAAGAAAGGAATAAAGCTTTTAACAGATGGAGGAAAAAACCAACTATAGCAAACCAAATAGAATACAAAAAGCTTTCAGCAAAAGCAAAACAAACAATAACTCAACAAAAAAAGAAATCATGGAACGATTTTTGTGAAACATTAAACTTCAAAAACCCACCAAAAAAGATTTGGAACTTTTTCAAAAAATTGACAGGAAAAACAATTACAACGGAATATCCAATAATAGATAATGATTTGCCACTAACAAATATCAACCAAAAACTAGAAAAATTCAAAAGAAGAATATATGGAAACAGAGAATAAAATACACACTGGTCCAGGGGTGAATACCCAGCATCACAAAAAAAACGTGATAGTAAATCCAATAGTTAAACCAGGAAAAAACCCAAATGATGCAAAATCCTACAGATTCATATGTAGAATATCTTGTATCGGAAGTTATTTGAAAGTATAATAACAAAAAGAATAACTTGGTTTCTGGAACATTATAACAAACTAGACAAAGATTTAAATGGATTCAGGCCAAACAGAAATACAATAGATGCATTACAAATACTAGATAATCATATAAACAAAGCATTCGTGGAAAAACAATATACCATAATAGCCTGTATAGATTTGGAAAAGGCTTTTGACACAGTCAACCACGAAGCACTAATAATAAAAATGGCAAAACTAGGAATAACAGGTAACCCATTAAAATGGATAAATGAGCTTTTAGAAAATAGAACATTCCAAATAAAGATTGGAAAATAAACTTCAAAGAAAGGAACAACTAAATGTGGGGTACCTCAAGGGTCTCCAATAAGCCCAGTACTATTCAACATAATGATAAACGATTTGAAACTAACAGGCATCGAAAAAATAATATACGCCGATGATATTACATTAATAATAAGTAAAAAAAATTTAATTGAAGCAGCAAACAAACTAGAAACAGAACTACAAAAATTAAAAGAATGGGCAAATACTTGGGACTTAAAAATAAATTTCCTAAAAAGTAAACTCCTCTGTTTTACAAACAAGAAAATAAATCATTTACCAACAATTAAAATGGACAATATAGAAATAAAATATGTACAAAGCCACAAAATATTAGGCCTAACTTTAGATGCACCAAAACTAAAGTGGAAAAACCATATAAATAATATAAAAGTAGAAACATTATACAGAATAAATCTCATGAAAAAGCTAGCTCATTCAACTGGGGAGCCAACAGAGAAACCCTGATAAAATTCTACAAAATATACATAAAACCGAAAATAGAATACGGAATAACAATATACGGTGCAGCAAAAGAAGGAGAAATTAAAAAAATAGAAATCCTCCAAAATCAAGTATTAAGACTCGCTACAGGATGCCTTAATTCAACCCCAATAATAGCCCTTCAAGCTCTAACAAATTTACCTACAATGAAAGACCGAAAAAAAGAACTGGAATATATACATCTAACCAAGATCCTAAACAAACCCAATAGAATGCCAATAAAACAGCAAACAATAAACTACATAAAAGAATATAACCCCCAGAGAGACAAGAGATCTCTATTCCACAGAGTCACAGAAACTAATAAGATTCTGAATATTGAACTAAAAATAAATGAAGTACCAACCACTTCACCAGTACCCCCATGGTTTGATATCTCAAATTATATTCAAATAAATTTTGCTGAAGAACTTACAAAAAACACCCCTCAAGTAGTTATTCAAAAATATTATCAAGAAATGATAAACATAAACTACAAAGATTATACCAAAATATTCACCGATGGATCAAAAATAAAGGAACCAGAATCAACCTCAGCAGCAATATTTATTCAAGACAAAGAAATAACATCTGGAAACTACCAGCTAATATAGAAATAACCCACGCAGAACTCTATGCAATAAAGCAAGGACTAAATTATATTATAAACAATAATCTAAACAAAACGGTAATACTAACAGATTCCCAATCATCACTACAACTTCTACAAAACCGTAAACCTCTAAATTATATACAAATCATATATGATATACAAAAACAAATGCATACAATTGAAATTAAAAAACAAACAATAAAAATCCAATGGATTCCATCACACAAAAACATTAAGGGAACGAAATAGCAGACTTAGCAGCAAAGAAAGGTCATGAACTAAACAACACCATGAAAGTTTCTCAAGACCCAAATTATACAATAAAAGAAATAAAATCAAAAAATTTCAAACAATGGGAATCGAATCTCAAAAGATTACTAAACTCAAAGAATTATCTCATAAAAGACAACAACATAAAACCTTGGGTCAGAGCTAAAAACAGAAAAATGGATACATGTATCGCAAAATTATTAACCAAACATACAAGACTAAAACAACATTTATATAGAATAAAAATGGAAAACGACCCATACTGCAGATGGTGCAGAAACCAAGAGGAAACAATAGAACATATGATAATACAATGCCCAAGATTCAACTCCCATAGAATAAAACTAAAACAAGCACTTATTCAAGCAAATATTCATGACTTTAACATCAACCTTTTGTTAACAGGGACAGATCATCCATTACCACTGAAGTATTACATACTGAGACACACCAAGATCTTCCTACAAAGAACCAAGCTAATCAACCTAATATAAGAAACTTCAAGAACAAAAGAAGAGGATCCAGGGGATATAGACAACATAGTCTAAACCCTATAACAAGAAAGAAGAAGTAGTCTTGTGCTGCGTACTTTTAGATTATTCTTGTTTTATGAAGATTTGGGCCAGCCACACTGTAAGTCAACTATTTATACTGTTAATAATGTATTGTTCAGATGTTAGAGCATATGTTAATAACAAAGTTGTGTCTTTTATGTGATATATAACTTGAAATTATGTGATATAAGTAGTGCCATTCCTATTGTACTCTTATATTTTTACCAAGCTTTATTTCAGTTATTTACCAAAGAATAATGTTTTGTTTCCTATTCATTTAATGAAAGTATCTAGTCTTTAATTATTGATCTTTTATAAAGTGCCTTAATAACTCAGGAAATGTCATAAGATAGTATAAGGAATAAGAAGTATTTGTTTGTTTAATGTTTATATATATGCTAGTCTTGCAGTATTTTTATAATTTTCTATTGATTTGTTCTTAATATTTCTATCTCATATTGTATTAATATTATTTGATATTTGTATGATTCATTTACTTTATTTGTGTACAACTTTTTATTTCCAAAACTGTGAAGATTTATTTTCTTACAGCTTTTCACCTCACATCACGTGCACGTTCACGCGTACGTGTATGTTGTCATCTTGCAAGTTGGATACACTGCTCATACCTACCAGCTTGTGATCATGACAATAAAGGTTTAACTGACTGCTAGTGTTTTACTGGAGGCAGTACAGTGAAAAGAGTTGCTAGGGCAGTGAAAAGAGTTGCTAGCCCTTCTTCTAAGGCTGAAAAGAGTTGCTAGGGCGCTAAGCAGTGCAAAGAGTAGCTAGCCATCTTCCAAGCCTATTGTGAAAATAGTTGCCAGCCATCTTCTATGCCAGAGTGAGAAGAGTGAGATATCTAACAAGCTGAGTGAAAAGAGTCAGCCTTCTGTTGAGTGAAGAGTTATACAACTATCAACAAAGGAAAGTCTCTCTCAGCATCTTGCCGAATAACTTCAGGAGAATTGTTCAGCATGTCGACTACAAGCAACGCAGACGTTCACATTAAAATGGAAGCGGAGGAGGATCCACAGCAGGAACCCCACCCACAGTTAGACCCAGATGAAACAAGACCGTCTGGAGCAAGAATAAGGACCCTTACAGAAAAAGGAGAAGAACTGTACATTTCCACAACACCAAATATTTGGATCAGCTCTCTCAAGTGCAGTGTACAGTTGAAGACCTAATGTTAAGGTATTACAAAGGCGGTGCAGCCGCAGAAAGTGATAGTGAATATAAGAAAGCTCTTGAAAAGAAAGGAAAGATTATATGAAGTACAAAGCAAAAAGTGATGTGATCATACGTGATATAAAGAAAGAGTTAGAATATCTTGATAAAAGATATGCAGTTGAAGAAGTTAAGTCTGAGTGCTCGGAGAAATTAAGTGCTAAATCAGTTGCAGAAAGTGTCTCAGCTATGTTGTTAAGTAAAAGAATACAAGCTGAAGCCACAAAAGTTAAGCTTGAAAGTGCATTGAAAGAGGCAGAAATAAAGAAAAGAAAAGCAAAGTTACAGTGTGAGGAGGCAGAAATTGAAGCAGAATTAGAATTATGTGTGTCTCGTCAATGCTCAGTTGGCTGAAGTTGAGTACAGAGTAGTGTGTGAAGAAAGTAGTGATAAGTTGTCATCTATTTCAGGTAGAATACCTGGTGTACAGTTACAACAGAAAGTTCTTTCACAAGAACTCCTGCAGCAAGAGCAGCAGATTCTTTAAGTCGTGTCAAGCAGTACGTGGAAGATCAGAACAAGGTACCAGAATTTGATCTCAACCCTTCTTTGGAACAAGCTATGCCTGTCATACAACCTCTTCGTAGTCAGCCCAGTGATGCCAAGGCTAATCCTGTGAGTAACAGTTGTTGTGGAGAATTGTCGCGTTTCCTTTTGAAGAAGGAACTTTCCCTGGCACGTTTCAGTCCATTTGATGATCGTCCTGAGTCTTATGTGCCTTGGAAAACTACTTTTCAGCAGACCATTCAAGATCTGCATGTTACGTCTTTGGAAGAAGTTGACCTTTTACTCCGGTGGCTGGGCCCTGAGTCGTCCAAATTTGCGCAGAGTATAAGGACTTCCAATATACATGATCCAAGTAAGTGCATCAAGTTGATATGGAAGAGGCTTGAAGATAGATATGGCAGTCCTGAGATTATTGAAGCATCTATCAAGAAGAAACTAGAAAAGTTTCCTAAGGTTACGTTCAGAGATCCCAAGAAACTGTATGATCTGCATGATCTTCTTTGCGAAGTACAGTCGCTTAAAGAAAATCCACTTTACGAGAAACTGTTTGGACACTTTGACACATCTGCAGGAATAAACCCTGTGATAAGCAAGTTACCTCCTTCAGTACAAGGAAAATGGCGAGACAAAGCATCCAACTACAAGAAAACACAAGGTGTGTTATTCCCACCCTTTTCTTATTTTGTAGACTTCATTTCTGACGTTGCACAAATCCATAATGATCCAGGATTTAATTTTGAGCCAGAAGTAAATCTCATATAGACAAGACTTCAAAGCTAGATAAATTTAAAGTAACTACAAAGAAGACTGTAGTGCCTGATGAAGAAGCCCTTAAATGTATAATACATGGGACCAACCATTCTCTACATGAATGTAAAAGCTTT